TTGATATGTTTCCGTTACCTTGATTCGGTTCTCTTTGGGGTTGCTTATGAGACCCGGACTGCACTTATAGGAGCATATTTTGCAAACCTTTAAAAACCTTCTAGTCTCATGAAGTCAGGATATATATTCCTGACAAACTTATCTAACTTACTTCACACTGTGCTTTATTGACGAACTATTTACCTTTACTTTGCTTATTCTACCGAGGCAACAGTATTCTATCTAAAAGTGCTTATCAACCCAAACCTCCAAGACCCATCTACTCTAAATCTTTTTTTCTCTTACTATCTTTTTTCCAGGCTCATGTTGCTTGTACTTGGCGGTGTCGTTGTTACTCCTGTCGCAACACAGAAGCAGATAGATCCCGCGAACGTCGCTCCAACTCAGCCTCATCCTCTTCCGATGCTTCCACTCTTTCTTCAAGACCTTTGGCGCCTGCAACTATAACCACAAAGGACTCGAATGTCATTGACCAAACAAGCGACTTGCCCACGGCACAGGCAGGTGAGGCTCCTAGAACTGCGGGGAACGTGACATGCAAGGCCTTACAAAGCTTACTAGTCAATTTAGCGTACAAACGATGTTTAGGTTGCTATGCTTGAAAATTTATTTTAAAATGGCTTAATGGCATTCTTTTTGTAAGCATTATTCTTTTTGCTAGAATTAGTATCATTTTATCTTTACTCACGGGTTTATGATCTTATTTGATGCTGGCATATCACCAACGGGACTCGATCCCGGGTTGTGGTAGTGTAATATTTGATCTCGACATTTCAACCACTGCCACGCTGTTACGAGTGTCCTTGGGTAACAGGACAGATGCAAATCTGAAGGAAGGTTAGGCCTTTTCCCATATTACATTATATGGTGGGATTCTCAATGAAGCAAAGTTTTGTTTGTTATAGCAATTGGTTACACTACGTATTCTTTGTCTATAACTAGGCTTTCTGAGACTATCCATATATAGGTTTATCTACTGGTAGTCTCGAAAAACTTACTTATAAACGAAAAATAAGTAGTACAACCAATTGCTATAACAAATACAACTTTGCTTCATCGAGAATCCCACCATAGAATGTGATATGGGAAAACGCCTGATCTTCCTTCATAATCGCACCTGACCTGTTACTCAAGGACACTCGTAGCAGTGTGACGTAGTAGGTAACGAGTCGATATTATACGCTGCACTACCATAGCTCGGGTTCGAGTCCCGCTGGTGTTGCTGATGATGCTTAGGCGAGATCGAAGCTGTTGTACACCCTGGATGAGGATACCTTTTGAGAAGCAAGACTATAGGAAATTAAATGGAAACGCAAGGCCCACTCTTATAATTGTGGAAAAATTTAACTAGCCTGGAATGTTGGTTAATTTTTCAGTTGTCGACTTTGAATTAACAGTATTTATACACATGGTTCTTGTGGATATAAAAGAAATTTTGAAAGACTATTTGAACTACGTTACTAATTTTTCTATGTAATTTAAGCTTAATACTAAACATTCCAACAATGTGATAGCAAATTATCCGTATATTTCTGACACCATTGGCTTTTCATTTGGCAGTACACAATCAATTAGAGGGAGACGTCTTAAGTTTAAAAATAGCCTTGTAAACTTCGCACTGGAGATGTTTATTGCTAAGCGAAAGACTATCACTTGAAGCAAGGTCCTGCAAAATTTAGCTTTTTATACGTCATCATAGGTTAAACACAGATGGACAGATTCCATTCTAAGGCACCTTCCAAAAATATCTTCACTGATTGAGAAATTTCATGTTTTATCTATCATTTCAGCAGGCAATAGCTAGACAATCGCTTATTGAGATGTACGTACAATTTTGGTGATTGGCCTTGACTTGATGACCGCGATGCAGAAATAACCAGAAAATTATTAAAATCCTTATAGAATGAAAAATGTGACAAAATGTAACTAAGAGGTTCCTTCAAAACAATTTCTTCATAGAAATATTTGGTTGTAATAATTTCCTTTGAGGGATGAATTTTGACTTTTTTCAGATTCCCTTAGCCCTCTGAATATAATTCCAAAGATTTTTACTTCAGCAAAAGCAGGAATGAATGTCTGTGACCATTGGGGATGCACAATTTGATTAACTG